TGCTATGAAGTAATGCAGGAAATATATAGCGATTCATGTTATCACATTCCCTTGAGTCAATATGTAGGTTGAATTAGAAAGTCAGCAATTGTATTAGCACGTATTTTTACAAGGGTAGCAAATATTTTAGTTTCTATAGGGCCTATATATAGATATACTTTTTTCCACATTTGTATAAAAGTTACGTAAAACTCTGTCAATAATTTTCGTCTTATCACTTAATGTTATATGATAAGAGAGTTTTATTGATAAGAGGGATGAAGGCGCGTATTGAGTTGCCAAAACATCATCCAGTATAGGAGTAGCACTTCTTATCAGCTTCTTTAAACATCCTGCCAAATTTCGATGACGCTTTAGCCCTCTTTCCTGACAAGAACATACACGAAGTTCGGTTAAATTTGTCTCAGTCGTTACGAATTCAGAAATAAATTTCTCTCCAAGAAAGGGGATCATTTTATTTTAATAGACATTTTGCCTCTAGGTTGCCATTTACATGTGCTAAATCTCCGGATTAAATGTGGTTTTGTAGGTCTTTACAAACGAGGTATTTTTAGGAAGCTGATAGTCATTGATCTAGTCAAAAATTTCTCCGAGTTCTATGGAGCCTAAGGGCTCGTTTTCTTGTTCACAAGAACTTGGTACTGGATCCTGTCTTGAGCCAGATATATCCAATACAACCCATTTCCTTATCTTGATGTTAATCTGAAAAGCATCAGGATTCGAGGCGCGTACAGAGTAGTGTCACCTACCGACTGCTCTGGAAATTAAATCACAAGATTTAATTTCCTTGATAAGCAGAGCGTGCTGCAGGAATCAATCTTGAACTACTTATATTTAATATATTTTAAATGTATATTTAATGTATTTAGTACGTACTTTTGAGTTACTTATATAATTAACACATTAATTTAATATTTAATACATTTAATACATATTTTTGGTTTACTTATATTTAAGTTATTTAAACTGTTTATTGCTTGGGTATTTGAATGTATTTAACACGTATTTTGGGCTACTTATATTTAATACAATTAATTTAATATGTAATATATTTAATACGTTCTTGTGGGCTACTTATACTTAATATATTTAAATTATTATTTAATATTAATATTCTTTTGAGGTACTTATATTTAGGTATATGTCACGCGACAATATTTAATATTGTCACGTGTTGGGTATGTAACGCGACAAATAACTTCACGCCGTTTTCGATCAAGCCAATTTATTCCACTCGCTGTTACATTTACACAATTTCACAATTTCCCAATTACTGCCATTTGCAGTATCACAATTACTTCTCCTGCCATTCACTCGATGCAACTGAACTCGTAGCTGCTGGACTTCAGTTCATACTGGATACTAGTAACTTTGGAGATAGAGGAAGAACTGTATACTTGCTTTATAGACTGGCGACCATGTAAATTGGACCAAATTAATGCAGATCCTAAAGGAAACAGGTATCGACTGGCGTGAAAGAAGATTGATTAGTAAATTGTACATGGATCAGAAAGTTAGAGTGCGACTGGACAGAGGGGAGACAAGAAGTGTGCAGATTGGAAGAGGAGTTCGACAAGGATGCTGTTTATCACCAATTTTTCCAACTTGTACAGAGAATGCCTTATCAAAGAAGCTCTGGACGGGCTTGGAGACTTCAAATTAGGAGGCCAAATTATTCAAACTGTGAAATATGCAGATGACCTTGTGTTAATGGCTAAGGAAGAAACTGTGCTACAGGGCATGATTGATAGACTAATCGAAATTGGAAGATGCTATTCCGATCAATCGTGAGCCAGTTCTATCAAATAAATCTCCTTACGGCCTATTTCCCTTCTCAAAATGTATGTATAGATCCAATTCGACCTGCTCTTTCCATTGTCTTTAAATGATCAATAAAACTGTTATAAAATTCTTGTCTGATGCAAAACTATATTTAAATGTTGAGTTTGAAGTGACACATTATGGAAAGTTTTTCTATTTCTGTGTTCAGGTGTACAAAATACGAAAGCGAACATATTAAGTCTGGTAAGTCAGTAGAGTTATTTACAGGCCATTGTTCGAAACAGAACCAATTTTCGAAATTTAAGACTTTTAAGAATTTGTCGTATTGTTTAGAATTTCAGGTTCCCACAGCAGTGTTTAAGAATTATATCTTCTGGTATATAAAGCCGTGTAGCCGTGTGGTCCGTTGAAAGTCAATCAACGTGTCGGAGAAACATTTCGCTTCCATTTTTGGGCTCAAAAGTGACTTATCTTTGCTACCTCCTTACGCTGATTTTTTCCTTGGTTCAATTTTAAACCCTGAACATGTAGGCTGACTTTCAGCGGACTACATGAAGTTATATTAATAAGTTAAAGTTCTCCCTGTGCTTGGCTGATCACAGTGGTCGCGCGGTCTAAAAGATGAACTGTCTGCGCATGCGTGTATTCCGTGTTTGTGTTGCCCTGTGTGTAGGTAGCGGCCTCGCGACGGGCTGACCACTCGTCCAAGGAGTCCCACCATCTGTGAAAAAAGTTTACGAAACTGAAGAAGAGACCAGGGTCCCCAAAATGGCTTTAGAGCCATTGATATAATGAAAAATGACCCTGTACTTAACTAATTAACTACTTACTTACTTACTTACTTACTTACTTACTTACTTACTCATGGAGCTGAGCCTCTGTTGAGGAGCCGCCAATTCTGCAGTTACTCAAGAATTTCCCAGCATTTTATGGAACCCGAAGGTTCATTACCATGTTCACAAGAGCCCTCCACTGGTCCCTATCCTGAGCAAGATCAATCCAATCAATACCATTCCATCCTATCTCTCTAAGACCCATTTTAATATTGCCCACCCACCTACACCTTGGTGTTCCCAGTGGTCTCCTTCCTTCTGCCTTTTCCACCAATATCATATACGCATTCCTTACTATTAGGAGTAACTGCGTTTTACATGAGGATGTTTGCAGTCTGGTGCAAAACCCATTGAAGGCATAAATAACTGAATTACACATTTCTCGTCTTAGTCTTGATATTCAAACCAATATTAACATGTGGTCTCCATACAAGGTAATATTTTCAACTGTGCTGCTAATGCATTCTTCTGAATTTCTTAAGCTATAGTTTCTTTCCAGGGGCACGCGGTAGTGTAGTTGGTTGAGTCACTATGCTACAAGCCTGAAGGGTGCGGGTTCAATTCCTGAGGAATTCAATAGAATTTTTATATGACCTAACCCTTCCAGTTGCATTATGGCCCTATTGTCCATTCAACCTCTGATAGAAATAAGTGCCAGGAATCTTCCTGGGAGGTAAAGGTAAGCAGGCTCGTAAGACCTCATCGCCAACTGTACGCCGATTGTCCAGAAAATGTGGGAGCCACGATGTCTCATAATCCCATGGGCCTCCACGGCCCGTTACAGGAATAGCTTTATCTTTCTTACATGTTTTTTCTTTCCACTAAACTCCATGTAATTTGTTGTTGTAGCTGATATAATTCTTCTCAAATATATTTTGTTTTAGATATCCCTGTCACATGTCATAACATTCACTATTACTCATCCTAAACATCTAAAGAAATCATATGCTTAATTAATCCTCTTTACATATTTTTCTCTGCGTGTAGGACAGTCGGAGTGAAATGCTGACAACTAACCTGAACCCAGTACCCAAGTTAGTATTACTGGAATTATGCCTTCCCTCCTAGGTATTCATGGCATGGTGTTTAATTAATCCATTCCACAGGTAATTTTAACTTCTCTTTTACTTCTCTTTTACCTCCTTACATGTCTAAGCCTACATCTTGTTCCCGCATATGTACGTATTCCATTTTGTTTCAAGAGCTTCAACACTTAAAATTCTCCTTCAACATCAAACAAAATTGTATATATAGTTTTATGTCGTATTCCCAGTGAGTTATTTAAGGCATGTATTACATAGAGGCTGTCATTAATATGTCGTGATGCGAAAGCCACCGGTTGGAACATCAGCAAGGGAGATCAGATACCCTTAGTTCCTTTTTGCTTCTCTCGCGCCCACTGTGGAGCATATGGCTCATTTCTCAGTTTCATGATAATTTTTACAGACGGTAGGACCCCTTGGACGGATGATCAGCTCCTCACAAGGCCTATACCTAAACACAGGACAACATAAACACATAATAAATGCATACACACACCAAACATCCATGCCTTGTGTGGGATTCGAACTCACGATCCTGACTTCCGAGCGAGCGAAGGCAGTACATGCCTTAGACCGCTCGGCTACCGTGACCGGCACCCTGAGTTTTGGTGTCCAATTGCTAGGCAGGACAATACGTCGTGACAGCTGTATTCCTGATTCTTTCAAATTCTGCTTTCAAAATAATGACTCTTTTCATTCATCATCATAACGAACGAGTCCCTAAATGAAAGAAGAGATATAAAGAAACTATGACTCACTGATTATTCCAATATTCGTATTGTGAGATAAATTTTTAGAACATAATCTATTAATTATTATGCGAGGTCCAATTCATAAAAATACGAAGACTTGAGAAGAGACCGTGAGAACCGGTAAAAGCAGACCGGGCTTTCCCCGGTTCTCACGGTCTCTTCGCTTGCGGATTTCTTATATTTTTCCTTCTACCCTGAAGATGGAGGCGATACGTTCCTCCGAAATGTCGGTTAACACCACATATACATGGTGCCAAATCCCAGAAGACTGCTTTCTTTATAGTCACCGCCGTGAAAGCCTCAAATCTTACAATAAACCTGTTTCTTTAAGATTCCCATCTTCATTTAGGTTTCTCAAGTCGTCGCTTTCCTATAGGCTTTCCAGTGAAAATTATATTTTTCATATCCCTTCCTAGTGTTTTTATGAAACGATAGGCATGTGAGTAGAGAAATGGCGGTTTTACTACTGCAGAGACTGATGTTTTTCGAGAGAATGAAGAACTGTGTTATGTCACGCCCATAGTAGGCTAACAAACATGGGGAGCCTATAAATGACACCACAGTTACAGATAACCGACCCAGAATTCCAGCAGTCCACCATCAGCATCAGAGTGCCTGCTTTCTTTGTCACTGCCATCTGCCGTAATCCGCAAGGTAAGAACGTGTAGAAATCTGTGGTCTTAATGATTTCGACTCACAAGTGAAAATTTACACATTGTCTATGATATATAGTTATGAACTTTATCTAAAGCTACATGTTAAACAGCACAGAATATTAAATCTCACATCCGTCAATCGATAAAATGTAATTCAGTCTGTAAATTATAATAAAACAACTTCTTATAGAAAATGGCACACACTATAAGCTTTTGAAATAGGTAAGAGAGCTGTAGTTCTACAAAGCAGATCAATGAGAGTAACATGGGAGAGAACGTAGCACGCATGTGTGGATGAGAAATTTACATGAAATTTTGTTCAGATCATCTAAAGAAAGGGATCACATGGGAGACCTAGTTGTAGATGGAAGACTGATCGTAAGGAAGCAGGATATGATGGCGTGGGCTAAGTTAAGTGTTTCAGGTTATACACATTGAAGGTCTCTTGTGAACAAGGTGACGACGTTTCGGGTTCCATGGAAGGCCTACAATGCTTTGACTACATGAGGGACCGAGAAGCTCCCAAAATGAACTATGTTCCTTGCAGTTAAGTACTTCAGTCAGTCGGTTAGTTGTGAGAGCCGGGATAGCGCAGTCTGTATAGCGACTGGCTACTGGCCGGACGGCCAAGAAGTCTGAGTATGAGTCCAGGTAGGGGCGAGATCTTTTTCCTTTCCATGTCGTTCAGGCCGGTACTGGGGCCCCACCCAGCCTCCTATCCAATGGGTACCGGGGGATCTCTTTCCCCAAGGTCAATAATACGTGGACCTATACATCCACTCCCCCATACGTTTTATTCTTAATTAGCTAGGCACAAGGACCAATTTGTCATTTTACCTTATTTGGTTAACTAACTGGTTGATTTGTAATATGTTTTGGGTGGCTATCTAGTTGGTGTGATAGTTAGTCAGTTTAGTTTAGTTAAGGTGTTAGTTAGCTAGTTGGATGTTTGGTTAGTTAGCTAAGTTAGGTAACCAGATGGCTTATTTGAATAGTTAGTTAGTTGGGTGTTTGGTTAGTTAGCTAAGTTAGGTAACCAGATGGCTTATTTGAATAGTTAGTTAGTTGGGTGTTTGGTTAGTTAGCTAAGTTAGGTAACCAGATGGCTTATTTGAATAGTTAGTTAGTTGGTCTGTTAGTTATTTCCTTAGTTACTTAGATGGGTTATCAAATTTATTTCGCTGGTTGGTTAATCAGATAATTTAACTGACTAGCTAGCTATTTTGACGGTTCNTTTAATAATGTAGATCGATAGATAGATAGATAGATAGATAGATAGATAGATAGATAGATAGATAGATAGATAGATAGATAGATAGATAGATAGATAGATAGATAGATTTTTTTACAGATAGATTATTTTATTTAAGAATTGTAAATAGATAGATAGTATATTTAGCTGGCTGGCTGACTCCTTGGTTGGTTGTTTAATTTGTTATTACAATGAGCTCGTTCGTTGGATAGTTGATTCGTCGGTTAGTTACCTACTTATTTATTATTTAGTGAGTCAGTCCGTGTGGTGCTCGGTATTACATTCAGTTCATGAGAAATGTAACCAATCTGTAGGGCCTACGAATCTTTGCCAAATTTCCACTGAAAGCTCAGGACAACCGATACAGCACATCGAAAGTCAAATGTGGAACAATTTTTCCTCTGTAACGAATCGCATTATCTCAATGAACACGCCTGCCTGTTATTTGAAAAATTAGATTGAACTATATAAAAAGAACATATTAACATTAAACGCGATTAAGAGTGTCGCAGAGATATTGAAAGTAAAAACACCGCCCTATCCCTGACTATGTGCAGTCTCTACACCGCGAGAAGCCTCGTTTAATAACATCCCTTTCAATATTGGCTTGCACGTACTAGAACTTATAACAGTAGAAAGTTGTTAGGCTGACGCTCCGATCATTTTAACTGAAGAGAAATATTTCTCTGGATCCAATTAATCGGATATTGCTGAACCCAACCTCGGAGTGGTAGTAGCTTCTTGGCTGAGAATCAAACCACTGCCGGTCAATCTGCAGTCGCCTGACTGACTGATATACAATGCCATCAATAATATTCAATTCAATTCAATTCCTGTTTATTTACGTGCAAACTTAACAGCACAGAGTCCGATTAGAAAGCTAGCACGAATAGAGAAATACTCAAAATAATTAAAAAAACAAAATACAAAAATGATAGTCTATATTAATTACACAGCATAAATAAGTTACAGAAAGAAAATAATAATAATAATAATACGTAAAAATGTAAAGCTCTCCCTGTAACAGGCTGTGGAGGCACATAGAGTTGTGAGATGTTGAGGCTCCCACATTTTCTCTAGACAATCGGCTCACAGATGACTGTGAGGTTGTCAACCTTAAGCGCCGGCCGCCCTTTACCCCCCAAGAAGGTTCCTGGTACTCATCTCTGTTAGAGGCTGAGTCGGTCCCAGGGCCATAGTGTGGCTGGAAGGATTAGGTAAATTTAAAAAAATCCACCTCATCGGGACTCGAACCCACGACTTTCCGGCTTGTAGCATAGTGCCTCAATCAACTACGCTAACGCGTGCACCAATAATAATAATAATAATAATAATAATAATAATAATAAGCTGGAGAAAACTGCATAACGAGGAGCTTCAAAACTTATGCTCTTCGCCAAATTAGAATGTTCTAGTCAAAGAGGATGAGAT